GCTTAGCTTGTTCTAAGTAGGTGCTTTAGACCACTGAGTCATCTTACCAGCCCCGACAAACCTGATCCTTAGAGTCAGATGTTATATAACAATTAGTGCAAACTGTACTGAAAAAAGACCCTACTACCAAGCTGGGCATCATGGCACATACCTATAGTCCCAGCACTTGGGAGACTGAGGCAGGAGAATTAGCCTGGGCTGCATAGTGAGTTCAAAGCAAGCCCAGACTCCCTTTTAAGATCTTGTCTCAAACAAGCAAAAAAAGACTTCAAGTCTGTAGTGTGAGGCAAGAGAAAGGATGCAATCCCAACTCCCTGTGCTCCAGACATTGCTATAATCCTGCAGGTAGTTAGCTAGCTAAGAGGCCTCCACTATCATTCTCAGGCTGCCAAAGACAGTACACCCCTAGAAGCCTTGACCTAAGCAACAGAAACAACAGGTGGATAATGCTGCCTAGTGACCCCACCCTCTCTCACCTGAAACCCAGCTTCATCATGATAACCAGGGTTTATCCTATGATGCCTACCATCACTGTTTACTTTGGGCAACACCAAAAACCATCTATCCTCATGTTATGCTGATAGCATCTTCTTGCCTCTGTTCCCAAATCCTTAGAAGCCACTCTCTGGAATTCATAACCTACTACTGGCAAGTTTCCCTACATCCTCAGTGATTCCTACAACAGAAATGTGGCTGTCCTTGAGTGGAAGTCATTCACACCTCACACTGCAATGTCTCCAGTACTGTTCCACATGTGTTGTTTGTATAAGAAATATCTGTTGATCTACTTCAGGGTCCTGATGTTTTCAGTGCTTGCTTATTGCTGTCTCTTTGGGCCTATTCATCCCTCTTTAAAACCACAGCTCCTCTGATGTTGGGAGCCACCTAACCTGAAATTGATCCTATGTGGGAGGTCAGGATGAGGCCTCCTTGCCTTTGTAGTCAAACTATCTCAGTCTTGAGAAAAACATCCTGCCTGGACACTGGGCTATGAGTCACTAGGCAACTTGTGTCTTGCAACTTTGTAAAAGTATAAGTAAATGCCCTTACTATTGTTCAGGGGTGGATTCACCAACCAGGCAGAGGAGTCACAATCTTACTCAGCTCTTGTCTTCTTGTTTATCTTTTCCTCATTTCAGCAGCTGTTTTCTCCCAGGTACAACAGACCACACTGAGACCAATGGATCCCTACACTCTGATGTCTGTGACACCAGATTTTGCCATTAAGAACCTCTACTGGCAGGTGCCACCTACTCATCTCCCTCTGGTCTGCCCCCCAGTAGTACAAGTGCTCCACCCCTGTTACCACCAAGCTCAGACACTTCAGCATCCCTAAGGACAATCAGCCAACATCATGGTCTCCTTCAATGACTCTGTCCCCACCTACTTAGCTGCACACTGCTGAAGTTGTTGCTTGTGAATTGCGATAAAGGTGCAACTGTGTACCAATTGCTTCTCTTGATTTCAAGTGTTCCCCTGACCCCCACATCCTATGCTAGTGACAGCCTACTCACTCTAGTATCACACCCAGCATTTCTTCAACATGATGATGTCCTGCCCACTGAACTCCCTACAAGGATTTTGCTATCCACCATTGGTGCTCCTCCTGCCCTCACTATGGAGCTATCATTACAGCACTCCCTAAACTCCCTGCTTCACTTTCATGCTGTCACAGGCCCTGACAAAACCTGACCCTGATTAACCAGTCAACTGCCATCTCCACGCCAGCACCCTATCTGGTAAATGTTACTGCAGAAAGACTGCCATGCAGGTTGGTTGAACATTACATTTATGCACACCAAAACCAAAAGGCACCAAACACAGCTTCAAAATCCACTTCCAGGGCTGGTCAAATAGCTCAGTGGATTAAAGTGCCTGCTTAGGCAGACGTAGTAGCCTGGGGCTCAATCCCTGCCTGCTGTGCTGGGGGACACTGAGATGGCGATTACGATAGGCATGGTGGTGTGTACCTATAATCCCAGCTCTTTGGGAGACTGAAGACAGGCAGATCACTTCTACATAGTGAGACCCTGTAGACCCTTACCAAAAAATACAAAAAAAAAAAAAAAAAAAAAAAAAAAAAAAAAAACCAAAACACTTCCCCACTACCTTTGCTTTCCACTGAACACATCACACTATCTCCTCTCAGGCCCTCTTTAGCTTCTTGTACTCTCTACTGCAGATCTTGTATTTTACACACACAAAACCCAGAAGCAATCAGGTTCCTCACTAATCTCAACATACATTCTTATCTTTTCCTTCTTATGACAACAAGCAAAGTGTCTAGTCTTATTTATAGCCAGTTCCTCCATTTATGTGTTGGATCCCATTCCTGAGTCCAGCTTCTCAAGGGCTTCATTGTACAATCACCAAACTCTTCTGCATCATCAATTTTCCCTTTCTTCTAGAATCTTCATTAGTACAGTCATTCTAGTGTCATCTTACCAACTACTTGGCAAGACAGTTTTTTTAGTTGCTTAGATTTTTAAAAACTTTTTTGTTATTAACTTGCTCCCTCTACAAATATAAAAGCAGAAACAATATTCAACAATTAACTTTTTAATTTCATCTATATTGGTTAACTTTTGACTGTACATCAACCATATGACATTTTCTGACTAGACACCTTATTTTAGTGTCTATCTCACAGAAAAAACTTAGATCTTATATTACATGAATTATTTTATGGGCAATTTGGTAATTTGAGGAAATAGGACACTATCATTATATCATGGGGCATCAAACGTAGCTTAAAAATGCACTTCCAGGGCTGGTCAAATAGCTCAGTGGACTAAAGTGCCAGCTTAGGCAGATGTAGCTGACCCAGGGTTCGATCCCCCACCTGCTATGCAGTTTGATGATAACACAGTGTGATGAGTTTCAACATTTGGCTTTACTTTTTTTGTTTTTGCTGAGACAGAGTCTTGCCTTGTACTGCATGCTGGCCTTAAATTCACTACGCAAGCCAGACTGGCCTCTAACTCACAGTGATCCTCCTGTCTCAGCCTGCCAAATGCTGGGATTACAGGCATGTAACACCATGCCAGTTGGTTTTATTTTTTTATTAAGGGCAAAGTGTATTAAACTTAACTTAAAAAGATATAGGTGCATATAATGGACTCAATTATGCAGCCAAAAAAACGTGTTTTACTTGTGAAGGTCCCTTTGCAACCAACACAATCATCTTTGTGCTGCTCCAGGTTAAACTTTGCTGATTAAAACAGTATCTCTTTACTGGACATTATGTACACATCTCTGAAAAACAAATTCAATTAGAAAGGACTAGAAGAATTTAAGTTGGGACTAGACTAAAGCCACTTCAACAGATGTCCATGTCAAACGAGTTCTAAGACCACTTTGTTCAAAGCCCTGACCAGTGACTATACCTCCTGATTTCTTGTGGATAAAACATAGTAGCCAAGAGGATTAAACCAGTTAATACAAAGAAGGACCTTACAGCAGTGCTTGGGAAATTTAAGTACATGCTTGCTAGCAGTATTAGGACAGAGAACTGCATTATCACTATGTCCCAATACAATGAATAATGTGTGTAGCTAAAAAGGTAGTTTTCTGTGAAAGAAAAGAAAAATTAAGGGCAGGGATATAGCTCAGTGGCATAGTACCTGCCTGGTAAGCATAAAGTCCCAAGTTCAATTCCTGGTACAAAAAGAAAGAAAAAGAGAAAGAAGGGAGAGAAATTAAGAAAATGGCCAGGCCTTACCATCCATCATCAACATAACAGTTGTACCGGGAATGCTGAAGGAGGACTGGGTGCTCTGGAGATGAATACTGTCAAATCTTGGCTGCAGGAAATAAACATTAGAAAAGTCACCCGTGAGTCTTTTTTTCTCCCGATGTACATTCGACAAATCAAGAACCTCACAAATCCCACAGGCTCTATCCATAGGATTCATCAAGAATCTGACATTTTTCACTCCCTCATGCTCTTTCTAGTTCATAAGCAGCCCTTTGTCTTTACACTATGTTTACAAAACTCAGCTGAAGCACAGTTTATATGATGCCAGATTACGGAAGAGATAAACTGTGGACAAAAATGGTTGGTGCTGCTCTAAATGTAAAAGCCATTATCCCATTTTATTTATTAAAATGAATCTACCTTACCAGCCCCTCCCCCAACAAACCTGTGCGCTCTTGCTCTCGCTCTTCAACAAGCACTATGGGTGCAACCTTCAAAATAAGATTTAAGTTTCCGCTTCTCTCAAACCTCACTGCCAAACAAAACAGGCCACAGTGCAGTAGCTGCATTAGCTTGCTGACAGTGTCTGCACAGTCAAGTCTACTCTGCATGCTTGGAGACGCAGTAATCTTTCCTTCACGTAATAACCCTTTAGGAATATATATCAGATCATGGTATTTCCGTAACTGTATTCTTTAAAGCTTCTCCATCGCCCTTTAAACAAGCCTGAGGAGACAGTCTCTTGATTATTTCTACTTCCTTGTCTGTTCCATCCCACCCAGCTCCCTCCCCCAGTTCCCAAACTTGCTCCAGCCTCACTAACTTGCTTTTAGCTTCTTAAAACCACGGTGCTGCTTTCAGGCCTCAAGCAGCACCTTGCATGGGAGGCTCTCCGGAGCCCCTCGTTCTTTATTCCCCGCCCCGTTCCCCCTTTCAGGGTGGCGTTCAATTCCCTTATGCAGCCCAGGCTGGCGTCGAACCCACCAGGATCCTCCTGCCTCAGGCTCCGGAGTGCTGGCTGATCCCACAGCACGCCCGGCGGGTCTTCCTTTCTAAGAGCCCGTCCAGCCTGTCCTTTACAAGGAAGCCCTTTCCTCAGCCTTTCTCTTGACCCTTACTCCTGCCTTACTGCTCATCGTCCACTATCGAGTACGTGTTTATTTTCAGTTGTCCTCTTTATAGGGTGCAAGGCTGGAGAAGGCGGCGATTTTGGAGTCCCGCAAATGGGGTCCCGATTCATAATGATTAGCAGAGCGTGAATCAAAGAAAGAATGAAGTCCAGTCAGCACGCATCCGACTAGAGTTTTCAAGCTACCGTACCCTTAAAATGAAGAACACTGGTTCCTCACGAAGCCGAACCCGCGGTTTTCCAGCTCCCGCGCCACGGCGCCTGCCCCACCACGCACCCGGCCCGGCTGTGTCCGGGTTCTAGATCTCCCCACGTAGCCCTCAAGAGCTCGCGCCTCTCGCCCTCAAACTACTTTACATCCTCTCACAGCCACGCCAGGGTCACCTGCACGCACGAAAGGGTGACCTCTTACCCGGCGCGGGGACTGCTTCCTAGTCAGTAGAGGAACGCGCCAAAATTCCAACCAAGCTCCGCCCCCTCCATCTGTCGTCAGACGCACGCTACTGGACGGCCTCACGGCTTGCCGGCTGCGTCAGAGCCCTGGGAGCCGCCTACAGGGCGGAGACAGCGAAGCAAGGTCCCTATAGAGAACAATCTGATTGGCTAACTTCTTCGCGCGCCATCTTTGTTGAGGGCAAAGGAACTTCCAGTCAATGAGCCTCTAGGTAAAATCGAGCGTCTGGCGCCTCCCAGCACCCGGAAGTTTTAAGATTTCTCCAAACATTCCTAACCCTTTGCAAAACTATTATCTAGTCTTTCTGTTCTCCGTTTTAAATTTCTACAAAGTGGAGGGTAACAGTGAGGTAGAAAAGCCTGGATATTTTCCAAACAATTCTGTAAGACTACCTGAAAGTGTCCTGTGAGGTAAGTGATCATAGAAGTCTCAACAAACTGGTTGATTATCACACTTGGTTTTCTACCCTTGTGTCCATTTGAGATGTTTTGGACTCAAAATCAAGAAAAAAAAAATTCTATATTTAACTTCAATCTTCGGGAAGTCAGTTATCTGTTTAGTTTCCGTGTCATGATCTTTACGATGAGAGTATGGATGACAATCTTTGATTCAGAAACCACTATTCCCAATGTAGCTCACGGTCCATAGACTGAGAATCACAACTGGTGTCAGTTCATAGTAACTCATCTGGTAGCCATATTTTTCACAGAACAATGCTTAAATTAATTAATATTTATTTATTTTTGGCGGAACCGGGGCCCTTGCGCTTGCCAGGGAAGCGCTTATTCCACTGAGCCATCTCCCCAGCCCCCATTGTTTAAATTTAGACCTCATAAAGTACTTGCATTTTTAAGTATTTGTACACAATTTTAGTAACAATTTCTAAGTGCAGATAAAAATGCAGGATTTCTTCACAATTTCAAAAACTTAAACATTTTGATGGATCGAATTACCACTTAGAGATTTTTACTTCCTCTTGCAGACACTACTTAGGCATAGCACTCCCTAGTATAGTTCATGTAAGATAATATTGCCATCCACTCCATCTGCCTTTATTTCAGGACAGTTAAAACCAGCATGAGTGGAAAATAAACAATTTTAATGTCATCTACATTGATTTTTTCTGCATCTTAATAGAGTATCAAATATTCCATTTATGACATCAGTGCTATTATTTGAGCCTATTATACTGACCTACAAATAGGAATAATACTTTTCAGAACTGCTAGTCTTAAGAATGCATAGAAGTGGAAGAAATACAATTAACAGAATTTAAGAAATGTGTTTAAATATGTCACTGCATTTATTTATGTATTTAGGGTAAGTGTCTTGATTTGTAGCCCAGGCTGGCCTTGAACTCCCAACAACCCTCCCTTAGCTTCTTGAATGTTGGAATTGCATGTGCATGACACCATGCCCAGCTACTGCACCACTACATTTAGTTACAAGGGTTCATCATAGGTTTAGTCTTATCCATCACGCAGAAATCCCTTGACTAGCTTTGCTTGGACATTCTGAAGTTCTTTTCTTGCCCTGCATCTTCTTGGTCCTCTTTGCATTCTATTCCACTCAAGGGGTAGGAACTACCATTCTAAGCCCTCAGAATTTCCTGAGTGGGGGATCAAATTAATTTTTATTGGACTTCGTATAATGGCAATTTGGAAGAAAGAAGTGATTTTGGGGGAAAAAGAGATATGGACTTACTGGATGTGGGAAAGTTAGAGGAAGAGGTTTAATGTTGCTGACAGATTTCTCATTTATGTAATTACATGTTTTTCAAGGCAATGTACTTAAGAGATTGTAGAAGACCAGCATATATTTGATCTACCACCTCCTCAACCCCCCACTGAAATTCCTTATTCTCCATACCCAGTTACACAGGCTGTAGCTCAGATTTCTCGACCCCATCTTTTCTTTTCTATTTATTTATTTATTTATTTATTTGTGTGTGTGTGTGTGGCCAGCTCAGCCCACCAGGGGGTGGGGCTGGCTGGCAGGTGGTGCTGGGGGATTGAACCACGGTCCCTGTGCTTTGCTAAGCTTGTTCTAAGTAGGTGCTTTAGACCACTGAGCCATCTCACCAGCCCCTTTTTAAGGATTTTTTTTTTTGCTCTGAATGCCTTCAGGGCAGGTTTGGCTGGCTGGAGTTGTGGGGATCGAACTACAGCAACCTGAGGCTGACAGCTTTGTGGAAGCAGCCACTTAAAGAACTGAGCTAGAGCCAGGCCCCTGACCCCATCTTTTCTACATCCTGCTGGGAACTTCTCAGGCACTCGTTTTTCTTTTTAACCTTCTACGGCTTTTTTCAGCCTCACCCATCTCTGATCCACTGCTCTTCTTGCCTACATTTACAGCAAAATCTTTCCATGTTTTTTCCTTGAATTCTTTTATTTTTATTTATTTTTTTGTGTATTTAGTACAGGGCCTACAGGGTCTCACTACATGGATCGGACTTGTAGTGATCCTTCCTGTTTTTCAGCCTTCCAAGTGGTGGAATTATAGGTGCACACTACCACGCCCAGTCTCAATCACCACCTCAGCATGCCCCGGGGCCAGGGCCAGGGCCAGCAAGGCAGGCTGGGGGATGAACTCCTGGCCCCTGCATATGCCTAAGCAGGCGCTTTAATCCACTGAACTATCTGCCCAGTCCTCTAATAAATGCATTGGTAGCACCATAGTTTCTATAAATTCCAAACTTCATGCCATTCAGGATCTTTACTTACAGACTTGACTTTTGTCCTCTTTTCCACCAATTTCAATTTTGGCCTTTACCCTACTGAAGTAAGCTTTCTTCTAGCCACATGGAGCCATTACTTCTTCCTCAAATATTCCAGGTTCTGATACATGTTAGGCTTTGCATATGCAGTGTTCCCGTGTGTTCTCTCCCCCCGCCCCCCCCACCCCTGGAATGACTTAAACAATCTTGTTGGCTCCTACTTATTACTAAGTTCAGTCCAGGGACCTCCTTTGTAAAGCTCTTCTGGACTCCCTAGGCTAAGCATTTCTTATTTTTTAAAGAATACGAACGTTTTGTTTTGTTTTGTTTTGTTTTGTTTTTTAAAAAAACATTATAAATAATACAAAATTTCACTAAATAAAGTAATAAGAATTCAACAGTGGTTGCTGTATTGCACGATGCCAAGCATTTCAAGTTGGTGTTTTGTAGAGCTTTAGCTCGGTCATGGACATAGAGCTTGCCACAAGATACCTTTGCTGATGTTTTCCTTTTGTAATGTAAGAAGGGAAACACATTTGTTTATCTTCTGCCTCTTTTCTTTCTTACTACTGGTGTCTGGCACACGATGTGTATGGGAAGGAAAAATTCAATAGCATAGCTATCTATTCCTTAGCAGGCAACTTAATATTTAGGGCTCAGTTCATTCATTTATAAAGTGCAGACAGTGCTAATATGTGGTGGATCAAATGGTATTTACCAGTACATTTTTGCACATCTATAGTCAGTATGATGGACTATATTGCTTATGTATAATTATGTGTATATTCCTTACTTATGTGTAAGGGTGATACACAGACATGGTACATATTTTAGGCATCTACAGGCATAATATGGGAGACAAGACACAAGATAAAATATAAATAACAAGAGATACTATTAATGGGCACCAATTTTGCAGAAGAGGAGGGAACACATAGAGGAAAGGAGGTGTAAACATTAAAAGAAGTAGATATTAATTGCAAGATGATAAATACCTTGTCAAAAACTTTACTTTGTAAACAACAGAGACCAAGTTTGGCTGGAGTGTGTGTGGGGTGAGTAGATGCATAGAGGGAAGATGGATAGGTACTCAGACTCCAAAATTAAGACTACATTGTTTTAGCTGCCACCTATAGCTGCAAAACCTTGGGTAAATTCATTTCCGAATGACTCAACTTACCCATCTGCAAAACAAAGATAGGAGTAATTGTTTCATAAAGGCATCTGAGGATTAAAGGAGAAAAACTTGCAAAATATGCATATAGTGTGCCTGTTACATGTAAGCCATAGATGTGTAGGAATCTGCACATCTTGCAACTGAATATGCAAGAAACTGGAGCAGAAAAGCCTGTTAGAAGGTATTAACTGTTCCAGTCTAAAAGAGTTAGGGAACAGGACAAATGTGAATCATATTATGAAAGAAAACCTATCTGCATTGGTAAGTGACCAAAGAAATTTACCTCTGGAGGGACAAGGAGAGGGTGCCAGGGTGGCTGTACCTAGGAGACTAGGCAGAACCATAGAAAGAGCTCAAATTCTAAGGAACTTGCTTTGGATCTGTTAAGGTGATAAGTTCAGTCTCAGAGGTATAAGGAGTAGATCTTAGCAGGTGCCTTACATTTTTGATTGAAGCTGGGGGGTTATGTCAAAACTTCAAATATAGTCTGAGGTAGTGGTTAATGTAGTTCTAAATATAAGTAAGAGATTTGAGAAGCAAAATATCTTTGGGTATTTTTACCCAAGGCACCAGATAATTAAACCAATTCTTCTATCCTTAGGCCAGAAGAGACAACCAAATTCAAAAGAAGGCCTTAAGATGTAATGGTCTGGTTTCCATAACCTTCTCCCCCAACATCCCTGTAGGTATCTGCATATATCTTCCATGTTCTGTGGTGCAGAACTTTCTAGACTCTTATCTGGAACTTGTACAACTGATCAGAGACCCTTTATTGAGAAAAATGCAATCCTTGCTCAAAGGCAACCATGATAGATATGTGACTTTTTCGAGACAAATTTTTATAACAATATTGTCTTTGTTGCTCAAACAGGTATTTATTACATGATTACTTGAAACAGCAGGGCAAGGTCTTCCATCTAGTTACCTCAATTGATGTTTTGCAAGAGAAACTAATATAAAAAGTCTAACATTAGTGTTTTAATCCATAAGAATGTTCAATGTATCTCTTCCTTTGTTTTGTGGGTTAATAATATATATATATATATATATATATATATATTATTGGTTATAGCTTCAT